GTGTGTGTGCTTACAATGACACTGACAGGTAATTTATCTATCTAGCTTTAGTCCTTCTACGGCAGGCGTGCCCCAGGAAAAAACCAGAGTTCAAATGACAGGATATGTGCACCCACGCAATGACAAAAAGACAGCAATCACGGCGCCGAATACTCCCCGCCCATGCTGAGTTCACAAGAACCATTCCTCGACCACACCATTCAGACCAAGTAGTCCTGAATGGGACTACGTTATCTAGTTAGTTGGTAACTACCTAAGACACACTGGATGGAGCGACTTGGTACTTTGTGAGCGAGTTGAGCCAGAGACTGGAACGCCCTTACTCCCTTTCTACCTTGATACCAACAGGAAGTCGAAGTGAAGTCGGTTGGGGGTGAGATTAGGCACAGTGCTCGGCATGACGCAAAACTTATACCTAACACTTATCACAAGTCACAGTGGTAATACGATATGAAAGGTGTTGTCCTGTCTAATAAGGCTTTACCGGCTATAAGGTGAAATCGCGCCTATCACCTCCCCAATAAGACGCATCACAAAACCGTCGGTCGATGAGCCATGGTCGACGGGGCTTTCGGACGACCGCGGGGCTACGATCTATGGCTGGATTTGGTGAGAGCCAATGAGAGTAGATTCCTGTATGAAACAATAACAACAACCTGGCTTAAACCCGAACTGGTAGTGGGGGGGGCTTCTATTATGTGCAGTTTATGGAAGAACAATAACAAAGTCTTCAGGCAACGCGATAATGAAGTTTTCCCTATCCGCAACGACCGAGGAGATGTGGAGTAACATTGTCTTAAAAAAGGAAATTTATGCCAGTAAATGGACGGTTGGGATAAATGAGGGGCTTAGGCCGTCGTTGGACAGCATAATTGCAGGATTATGTCCCAATAAACGAAGGGGCAAGGGGAGTGATAAGAGGCGATCGAGAAAAATGCCCCCCCTGATGGTCGTAATAACGGCAGTAATTAGGATTTAAGTCGTCCTGAAGAAACTGCAAGATTAATGCCAGTAGAGGTGCTATGAGGACAAAAATAAATTTGTTGAAGGGGAATATCGCTTATCTTTTTTTATGACAGCTCGTCCACTGCAATCAATGAAAACCACAAATTTCCGAGAAGACGTTGGTGTCTACTTTATTTTCCATATGCACCCCCCACCGTGGACCAAATGTAACAGACAGCATAAAGCACTCTGCTAGAGTTTGGACGAAATTTCCGCCACACACATACCTTGCTTCACATACACAAACACGCACGGGGGAATCAGGCGTAAATATGTTAGAGGACAGAAGAACTCACACGAGCAACTTCGGTCCTTGCCGGCGCTGTCGACTCAAGGTCGCTGTCCAAGTCATCCGCAGTAAAAAGTGTTTTCAGAAAGAGTAACACAGCCTCCAGCAGGCTATACTCCTCCTCCCTCTGTTCAGACTCAACTAGGAGAAAGAAAATCCAAAGAAAGTATAGGGAGCAGATGACAAAAAGGAAAACAAAAAGGCGACAAAAATCAAGCCGTAACCTGAAAAATGAGATGGAATGCAAAACATGCGCTGGAGTACGACCACCTTAAAAACAAATCGAATCATAGCGAGTGTAGCAGCTAACTGGAACCATGACGATTTACTTGGCCGACAGAGTTGCGGAATGTTTTAACGGTAGCCAAAGGCCGAGATGTCACCGCCTAAGTTCGTCTTGTGTGAGTCCCCAAGGAAGAACACAAGAAGTGACCGAAAGCAGAAGGCTTTGAGTATACTGGGTACAACATATTTAGGACAACAAACGCGTGTAAAACAATGTCCATCGAGTCAATCAGCTTCTCTCCTGGCGTAGGTGCGGGCACGATC